TATATATATATAGTGTATACAAAGCCTCATAGTTATGTACTTGCACCTTTGCTAAACCTTCGTCAAAGACAGGTTACAGGTGTAGGGGCACTTACATTCTCACATAGGATGGTGGTTCTTACATATTGATCTCTGTGTGTGTGTCATACATGTATGTATAGTGCCATATGTATTCTCTATATGATATATTGTGTGCATACTCCTACTTCAGCGATTCCTTTTTTGCAGACCTTATGGGAGACAGTGCAGCTTTTTGGGGTATGGGAAGCTGCTTGTTTAGAAATAAAATCCTTCTGTTAGGGTAGGGGAAATGATGTTTGTTCAGCAGTGCGCAACAAAGGAGTTCAAAGATAGCTTAAGGAAACTTAATGATATATTAACGCGTTTACCTCTTAGCAAAACTATTAATGGTGGGGGGGTGGGGAGAGGAAAGAATAGGAACATGTTTTGTAATTCTGTTCAGATGGACTAGTAATTTCTTATCATTAATCAGCAACAGATGGGGCAAGTGCTTAGTGACAATCAATCATTTGCTGGATTTAGTGCTAAATGGAAGTTTCACATCGGGTGAGACTGTGCAGTACTGTACCGGCTTTTCCTGATGGACCTCCTGCAGTGCCGTGAAAAACAAAGGGCTTTATTGATGCATTGGCTTCTTTCTTTCAAGCTTTGTCTTCGAGAGGTGCTCATTGGGAAACCCACAGATATGAGCCCTGATGCAAGCTAATAAGAGTTGGTCTTAGTTGCAGCTCACATGGAATTACTAGTTGGGGTGAGAACCCACAGCAAAGCTTGGTAATGCATTTGACTAGGAGCTCAAGTATGTCTCTGAAAAGTATCTGCTTAGTGATTCAAGGCTCTGCCTTGCAAACACATACCCAGGTGAGTAAATAGGGCTAGTGAGCATGTAAATTCATGTATGAGTTCGTGAGAATGAGGAAAACCTGAAAGTTGTCACACAGTTCAAAAAGGGCAAGTAGGGAAGGGTATATGGGTGGCAGTAACTGACAGCGGAAGTTGGGGACAAGGAAAAATGCTTTCCGAGAATGTAACTGGGGACAAAGACCATTGCGAGAAAGCTGATGTGCACAGCTGAGGTGGAGCTGGGAGGGAGTGGACAGAAGTAATCCTTCAGACCTCCAGAGGACCTGGTTTCCACAACCACTTCCTGGGTTTGCTGAATGCCTTGATAAATTCTCCAGAAGTTTTGTCATTCATCACAGATAAATCTCCAGTACAGTTGCTGCCGAAACTATTTTTGCTGAATGCTCTATTTTACTTCTTGCCTAATCTCAGTTGTGTTACTTTACCCTCAGTTTTGAGGGGAAAAGTAACCTTTGTCCTGGTGGAATATGCCCTTCTTAATCTCATTCTTCATCTTTTCTGCTGGTCTGTTGTTCTTCTGTGGTATCTGACCAGGCATCTGTCTAGCTTTCAGTAGACTCCAGTTTTCTCTTTAGTCCCTCTCCAGCATTAACAGGCAGAAGCTCAGTTACTAGCTCCACTCCAAACCTCGTCCTCTTCAAAAACTGCTTTGACATGGCTAACACTGAGCTGTTAAACAGACAAAGAGCACTGGTATTTCTCATTCCCTGTGCCACCATTTCCGTGTTTGCTCAAGCCATTGGCAGACTTGGATCTTTAACTCCTGTCTGGTTTCTCAGATTTTTTTGCAGAGGTGCTGATGTCCAGTTTTCTTTAGTCATCCCCTGTGGCTGTTGGTTTTAGCCAGGCTCTCATCTTACCCACACTCTTTCAGTGTTTTCTAAGCTTGACCAGGTACAGCCTTGTACAGCTGATACCCATCTCAGACCTTTCTGCAGAGATGCTTTTCTACCTGTGTAGTTCCACCGGCAGTTGTACCAGCTCCCCAAAGACCAAATTTTGGTATGGTCCCACACTGGCTGCTCGTATAGAAACCAGGCAGCCACAGGATAGTGGGCAGGCTCCCTGCTTGGGTACTGAAGGGAACAGGGAAGGCTGCGAATGGCCAGCCCTGACAGTGGAGGATGGCCCCCAGGGGTCCCAGCACAAGTCCCTGTGGCAAAGGAGCAGTGCGATGGCTGAGTTTGTTATCTACTGCCTGAATTTGAGTTCACAGCCAACAGAAGAATTGACACATCTTTTAAGCCTTGCTATAGTACTAAAATGGCAATGATATCAAATGTAGATGAATGAATTGATGCGTATGAAGGGATAGAAGGGAAGACCAGACTTCACTGAATTTTACTGGAAAGGGTGGGCTGAGCTGACTGTCCTTTTAGGTAGGAGGGCTTCGGAAAACTGAAGTAATGCATGCGACTGTTTGCTGGAGCTTGGGAATGATCACCAAAGCAAGCTGATCCCTGGGGGTTCTTAAGGTTTACGAACAAAAAACATGATATGCGGTTTGTTGCCTTTGAATGCCTGGTGTGTGTGTGTATATATGCCTTGTGTGTGTATACGTATATATATATATACACATATATATGTATCTAGGATGCCAACTTACAGCCTAGAACAGACCTGGAGGGACTCAGAGAAGGGGAAGGTGGGTGGAGGGGCTGGCTCCTGCCCAAGGAGCAGACAATGGGCTGGGGCTCTTCGGCCTGGGACAGGGTTCTCCCACAAGCCTCCTCCCTGGTTTGGTGAATCCCTGAATTCAGGAGGGTGGCTGCTGATCCCTACCTCCTGCAGTTACCCCCATGGGGCAGGAGGCAGTTTTCCACAAAGCATGCAGCAGAGCTTTGGATCCCCTCATGCGGGAGCAGGCACTGCAGCTGTATGCTGGCTCAGGGAGACTCAGCAAACTCTAGGAGAGTTCACAGGGGTCTGCTGGTTGCCTGGGCCCTGTCTGGCTTGGGCACCAAATGGTTACCCTGCCATGTGCAACAGTATGTAGGTATACACACGCATTTGCTCTGGCCTTGTTCTTCCCTGGGAACTTGCTTTTGGCTGCTATTTTGGGATGATTTTCTGGGTTAGATGAACATTAGTGACCCATTATGTCCTGATTGTCTAGTTGCATTGAAGTGAGTTGTAGGGCTTGCTGCCTGCCTTCCACTGGCTCTCTGAAGGGAGAATTTCCTTGCTGCAGACTTGGTAGAGGCATTGCAGTGCAGCACAGTGGTTAAAGAGCCTCAAGTTAAATGTATGTTGTGCTTGTCCGTTTTCAAATGAGCAGTTAAGCAGTCTGGCTGGCCTGGCAATGGGAAAAAAAAATTCCTCTAATCCCTGGCATTGGTTAAACAGTTAACATTCTTGTCAAAGACATAAAGAAATATAGTTTGAAAGTTAGCAGCACTGCCTTAGCAATTAACTGGGATTGTGCCTGGCTTGCACAGCAAGAGGAGCATTAGAATGAATTCAGGTGAATGACAACTGCAGGCTGGTGAAGCCTGGGAAGACCCAGCCTGCCGAGACTGAAGGGCTTCTCGGTGTCGTTGTGGGAGGGACAGCAGCCCCTGTTCCCTTGGAGTACGCCTCTGGAGTCATTTCAAGTTGGCAATGCTCTCCTGGGCATTGTGTGGGATTAGGCTGGCTGTTACTGCAAGGGTGGGATGGGGCTGTGTGCATGGGAGAGCCCCGTGGTGCCTGTACAGCAGCGAGCATTGTGCTAGCGACGTTTGGGCAGGAGTAACATGTAAATAAGCAGAGAGCCTAGGGATCCTTCCTTGGGGAGGGACAGTCAGCGCTCTCCGAGGTGATGAAATAGCAAGCCATAAACAAACCAAGATCACTTCAACACTGTCAGGGACTGCAGCAGCTAAACATAGCCCCAGAGGCTTGACTCACTTGGCTTCTGCCTGGCAGATGACTGCTCTGGGCTCGCTATAGAGTTACAAAGGTGAAATTCTTTAATCTGCGTCATGCTAGAGCTCAGGCTAGATGTGCTAATGGTCTCCTCTGGACTCAAAATCTGCACGTCCCCAAGAGTGGGTGCACAGTACTGAGCATCCAGGTCAGTCTGGCCCAGCTGCTTGCCCTTTCAGCACTGTCCAAAGAGGATCCTGCTTGCCAGCCTCTCCTGCTCCATGCTGGCAGCAGTGAGCCTCAGTGGAGGCAAATTATGCTCCTGGTATTTCTCCCTGAAGCCTGTGGCGTGTGGGAGGAGGTGTGTAGCAAAGGGAAAATGGTGACCCTTCTGCACCCTGTAATGGTAAAAGGAAATAGCAGAGTACAGCTACTTCAGTCAGGATGGTTCCTGAACACATGGTTCCTGAACACTTCTGTTTCTCAAACAAGGAGAAGCTTCAGAAACCTAATGTAAGAAATGGTTTGCTTAGTCATGCTGCTTAGAGGTTAATTAAAGTTGCATTATTGTGACAGTCTTGATGGCTGTATGAGTAATATGTTAGGTTTTATGAACATCAACTCTCTGAGGTGTCTTTAGTGTTCCTTTTTGATTGAGACTGAGCCCAAGGTCCTGATTGCTTGTGGCTGCTTAATGATTCAGTTGCATATTACTGGAAGAATACGCAATGTGCTGGGTTACAGCATCATCAGGAAATTATTCATATAGTCTTGCTCCAGAGTACTGGTCTAGATGCTTGTAACAATTAGCAGAAGCATAACGGACCTTTGTGTTCACTCTCCTGTCAAGGCTATCGAACATGTCTGGAACAGGCTGCATTTCTGCATGCTTTTCTTTTTTAATATTGACAGAAACATGAAGTAATCGCTTCTAAATCTCTCCTAAAAGCAATTTAATCATGAGTGGAAGCAGAGGATTTTGCTTTGCTGTTGCAAGACTGTTAAATGTCTCAGGGTGAATAGCTGATACGTGACTGGAAAGCAGCAAGTCACTCTGCTGCTGAGCTAAACTCATGTCACTTAAAAGAAATCTCTTCAACTCGGTCTTTGCTCCTGGCAAAGGGTTAAAAATAAACTCACTGCTTGACCAGGTATTTTGAGGTCTGTTCTCACACTTAATGTAGGGCCCTCTGGAGAGCAGTCTGAAATGGGTCTGTATGGTCATAGATGAAGCAGACAAAAGCAAACCAGTTCTCTTCTGTTTTCCTTCTTCTGCAGGACAGATTCTGCATCCCACATGAACTACGAAAATCCTCCACCTTACCCTGGCCCGGGTCCAACTGCCCCTTACCCACCCTATGCACAACAACCGGGTGGTCCTCCTGGCCCATACCCAGGCTATCCTCCTGGACCTACTGGGCCATACCAGCCAGGCCAGCCAGGTTATCAAGGTTATCCCCAGTATGGATGGCAAAACGCACCTCCGCCTCCAGGACCAGTGTATGCAGATGGGCCTAAAAACACAGGTATGCATAGTAGCTGTGGTGCAATGTAATCGTGACCCTTTCTGGCTTGCAAATGCATGAGTACATGTTGACCTTGAAGTAATATGGTTACCAGCATCTGGCTCTAATGGGGCTGGGGGAGGTGGAGACTTGTTTGCAGTAGCAATTCTGTTTATAGGCTGTTTTCCTGCTTTATTTTTCTGTTGTGTCTCTAACAGTTATCTGGCTGTTGGAAGGTACTGCTGAACATCCTTAATGCTGATCCCTCAAGGGAATCCTTATGCTGAGGTTGTTAGACATGCTTTTTGCTGGCTTTAAATTTGCCACAACTCTCATTCTGCCTGTCTTTTGGTTGATAAACTTCAACTGAAGGCTGCACAGTTGAAGCTTGTAATATTCAGATGTACAGTTCCTAACTAACTTAATGTGCATCAGTTTTCTTGAGCCCATCAATATCTGTCCAAATGACCTAATAGTGCCATTGGAATCATTCCTGCGCTTTTGTTTTTTTCTGAAGCTACTATCATTCTGTGGAAAAACAGATTTCTGGGGGAGGGAAGGAGGACAGTGTAACTTATCTTGGCAGCTAGCTGGTCCATCTGTGTGCCACGTCCCCTCAGTATGGAATGCTGGTTTACTCTGGCACCCATAGCTCTCGTGGGGCTTGCTGCAGTGCTTGGTGCAGGCTCAAATTGTCAGAGGAGGGCCAAGAAGATGATTAAGGGACCAGAGCATCTTTATATGAGGAGAAGTTGAGAGAGGTGTGACTGTTCAGCCTGGAGAAGACTCAAGGGGGCCTATCCATGTGTATAAATACCTTATGGGAGGGAATGAAGAAAAGCCAGACTCTTCTCGGTAGTGTCTGGTGACCGGACCAGATGCAATGAGCACAAACTGAAACACAGGAGGTTCCTTCTGAACACAAGAAGACACTTTTCTACTGTGGGAGTGATCAAGCACTGGCACAGGTTGCCCAGAGAGGTTGTGGAGTCTCCATCTGTGGAGATACTCAAAACCTGACTGGACAGTGGTCCTGGGCAGCTTGCTCTAGCTGACCCCGCTTGAGCAGGGGGGGTTGGACGAGGCGATCTCCAGAGGTCCCTTCCAACTCAACAGCTCTGGGATTCTGGTGAGGTTGGGTGTGGTCTGTGCCTTTTCCCCATTAGAAAGAGGAGGATTTAGCTTGGGGTTTTTTGGTAACTCTTTTGTCTTGCTGGTAAGGACACTTGCCTAGAGACCAGGTTTATTCTTGTCAGTGTTTCACAGGCTTTGGTTCTAAAATCTCTGCTTGTACATCATGGGGGTGTACTTACCCCTTCACCATCAGCACAGGGGCTCATGCTGTCATGCCAACTCCAGTGCCTCCTTCCAGGCTTCTTCAGTGATAAAGATACTCATCCAGGCTGCGAAGCCAGAAACTATCATTGCGTCTCTTCCAGTGAATATCACAAACAGACCTGAGCTGTTGAGAAGAGTCTTAAGTACCTATAGCTGTTCTGGCTGGCTTGGGGTGGCAGAGGATGTGGCCGGAGCTACGAAAGGGCCTGTTCTGCAGGAGGGAGTGTGAGGAGCACTGCTGTAGAGGTGCTGTCCAGGCACTGTGCTTTGGTGGAAGCTGCTCTCAGGAGGGAAAGGAAACTCAGGGGTTTTATGTGCTCGGTATGTGTGGCATGGTCATGGACAGACTGACCTTGGGTGGAAAGAAATGAGACTAATAAGTACCCCAAATCAAAACCTAAGTCAGTGCTTTACAGCTATGCAAGGCAGTAGCACTGCAGATACTACTGCTGTAAAGACCAGCTGATAAAGTGGGTATCGAAGCTGACATCGCTTGGAAAATTGTCAGGACTCAGACAATTCCCCCAAGGCGTTTGCCACTATGCAAAGCTGTCTTTGGCCATTGCACGTTAAGGTCATTCTCCACATACTGTTGTTGCCATGGCTTGGGACAATGTGCACTTGCGCTTGGGGCCTGCTTAGGACTGAGGTCTATATGCATTTGCTGCATTTTGAGATAACTGCCTGCTGTGCCCCTCTACCACTTCATGTTACTCTGACTCTGCAGCACACTGCGACAAAGGCCTTTTCAAAGCCATCACTTTTTGGGAAGCTGGAACTTCAGAAGTTCCCAGCAAGAGTTTTTCACTGTAATGAATACAAAGGAGACTTGACATAGCTGGGTGGACAGGCTGAACTGCGGAGAGGACATTTTCAAGAACTTTTTTTTTTTCCAGTCTTCTTGGCTAAAATGCTGGACTACTGGACCAATGTATATAGTAGCATCCCTGGATTTATAGCTGATGTAAGATGTCAGGAATATTCTGGTGCAGGTCTGGCCGCAGGACCCAAATACAAGCAGTGAACAATTGGTCTGAGTGAATAAGAATGTCAATGAGTGCAAGTCATGAGTTCAGCTTCCTCTGTAAAAGAGTGAAAACTTCAAGGGTCTGCCTTTGAAAAGGAGGCAGCAGCATGGTGATGCTTCCCACCACTATCACCACATGGACTCAAAGTGTAATCAGGGTTTTCCCTGGGAAATGCACATAGTTTTGGGGTGGTTAACAGGCATTTCTTGGTACTGGGGCGGGGAGGCAGGGAGGGAATTCCTAGTCTTCCATGTAGAACATCTTTGGTTAGTGCAAGTGTCACTTTGCTGCTATAGCCATGAAAAGGGATGTGCTAGCAGAAGCTGAAGGGAGAGTGGGTCTGCTGCTTTGGGCAGTCTGTCTTTGAGCCAGATCTGCTGCCTTGGAGGCTTAAAGGATCTCATATCAGACTGGATCAGGGAAGCGATGACACTGAATGTCCTCTGCTCTGCTCACAAACCCGTGGACCAGCACAAAGGTGTAGGCTGGGAAATTGCAGAAAACAAGTAGCTGAGTGTTTGAGTGTTTCTTTCACTGAGAGACCAGGCTTATGCTGCAGGAGGCATGGTTTTGTTGTTAAACCTAAGTGAACACAACTACAGTTCTGCGGAAGTAGCACCCTAACCCATGAACAAAAGATCTTCTGGTAAGTCCTGTCTTTGAACTGCCTTCCTGTAGCATGTGCGGTCTCTGAACCCACCTTAGGAGCCTCCAATTTGCGTTGCTTTTGCTGAAGTGGATGTAACTAAATGTACAAAAAAATATTAATAAATGTGTGTAAAATGAAGTCAGGGCTATAATTTTGTGTTTGTCTGCAAAAGCTTTTCCTTTTTCTTGATTCTCCTTCTGTTAAATACCTTGTCTCCCCCTTGCTCCTTTTTGGCCAGTCCATCAAACTGGAACCTGATCTTTGTCCTGTGACACTTTAACAGAAGTATTCTGAGAGAGCTTTCAATAAGGCTTTGTTTAATGATCACCTCCAGGAGTGTCTAATATAGAACAGATGTCCCTAAAAAAGCTAATTTTTTAAAAATCTGTTATACTAATGCTATCTATCTGTTGGTGTGGCTGAACCTCTAATATAAAAAAATTGACATCTAAATTTAATCAAGTCATTACAGTCTGCCTAGCCAGTCTGGCATGATTTAATGTGGCTTGTCAGTTCTTGTGATGTTTCCAAGCAGTTATCTGGGAAGAGCTACTGTGTGGATGCTTTCCTTTCAGAGCGGATGTTTTGCTCTCCTAGATGACTTAGCTTAATCTAATGAATTAAGCTACTCCAAGTAATGCATTAGTATTTGTGAACAAACATGTGTTCATGCTGAAAGCTAGGAAATTTGCTATACTTTACATTTTATGCTTTAAGTTATTTTACTGTGTAGACAACCTGCAAAGTGGGCTCTTAAGTTGTGGATCGCAGCCGGTGTGCTAATGTGTGGAAATAATTATGCATCATATTTTGGTCTTGAGTGGATCACGCAGAGGGAAATAAGTACTGTTGAGCTATCAAAATCTGCTGGTAAAATAGCATTTCATGGTGACAGTGTTTTTTAATCTTAACACTTTGTGGCCTGTCTGGAGTAGCAATGGACATAGCCTGTCCAATTGGCCCTTGGAGAGGAAAAAAACCTCATGTATTAAGAAGAAAGCTATAGCTGAGATGTAATAGGGAAACAGCTTAAACTTAGGACTGGTTTTGTCACCCACGCTGCAGAAGAGCTCGTGAACCACTGAGCCTTGTTTCAAAGGCTGCTGTTGAAGGACTCTTCAGGCTGAGCAGCACTGGTGTGAGTTACGCCGCCTGTACCTGGCATGTGTGCTGCAGCCGTGCTTCTCCCAGCCACAGCACCCATTCTTCCACATCCTCCGGAGGTGGGAGCTGTGAGCCCAGACCGGAGAGTTTGTTCCTTTTTGTTGGGGTCATGCTTGGCAAGGGTAGGTAACATCTAGGCTGGAAAGACAAAGTTATTACTGTTAAGTGAGCAATGACTCTGCTAGAAATAGGTGAGAGAGGGAGGATGTTGTCATCTTTTCAATATGACGTTGAAGAGGGGGACATATATAAAGGCTTGCTGGACGAAGGTGCAGTCCAGAACAATGCAGAACAAGAACAAGTATATTCCACTCTAGACTGTCTGTGTAGGATTAGTTAGCCATGATGACAGTTGCAGAAATCAGCTTGCAGTTTATGCATTAAGACTTAGTGGTGTTGGCCATATGGCTCCCATGTATTACAGCACTGTAGAAGAGGGAGTCTTCAGCTAATAATGGCAGCTGGTGGTCCTTTGTCCGTTCTCCCTGAGTGGATGGAGTCCAGCCTGTGCAAGCTTGCACCCCCTCAGAGTCACCCTAGCTACCTCAACACTGTTGGGCGTGAAAGGCCTTGAAGCATATGTTCCTTCTGCAGGTGCAAGAGCAGTGAGCCGGAGAGGCTAGGTGACTTGCTGAGGTGTCACAGAAGACCTCGTGGCCATGGTGTCGGTTTTTTGTTTTGGGTTTTTTGATAGCTGGCTTTTGGGCTTGTACAGGCTACCGATAGTAGTGTCTCCAAAGAAAAAACACTTTTTGCCTCTTGTAAGGGCTAATAACTGACTTGGCAGTTGTTCATTAGAAGTAAACAACTTGACCTTTACCTTTAGAGCTGGTAAGTTATAT